ATTGCTACTGAAAGTAGTGTTCTTCTTCAGTGACTGTAGAAATCGCTTATCTGAGGCACTTTCCGTCAATGCATAGACAGCACCAAATTTGCTTCCTTCGATGTCTTCCAAACAAACTAGCTTCTGAGCTGAGTGCAGGCGGTAAAATTCATGGCCTCGACTTCTACAATCTGGTCGTTAATAATATTGACAAGAGGCGTTATGACTAACAAAGATGCATAATTTCCAGCTCTTTTCGCGAGCAACACAAGAAGCTGAAAAATGAGACTCTTTCCATAGCCTGTAGGTAAAACGGCTAAAAGAACCTTTTTTCAAACAATTGTTCAGTCGCCTTCTTTTGCTCTGCTTTTAGCACGAATTTGATACCATTTTCTTCGAAAGATCGTAGCATTTCCTCTAGAAATAGTTCGAAACGATCACCTGATTTATCCACCATGTTGAATATGAATGTGAGAAGACCTCCATGCTCTTGAATGACAGGTCGTTTACCAATCAGAACGACAGATTGAGTAATTCATTAAATCTGACCAATCGGGATTTTTAAGTTCGTCTGGTGGACGAAAAAAAAAGAAGAAAACAATGGCGTCCTTGCAGGCCGTCCCTCCTCGAAGTGTGCTCGATCCTCCCGCGCTCATTTTAACCCTTTCCCCCCCCCCCCCCCCCCCCCNCACGCAGGCTAGAGCCACGTGGATCAGTCTCGTGCGTGAGGAACGTAATAATATATGCACGGTACGACCGTCTAAAATCTGCAGCGAAAAATGGAATTGCCAAACTTAAAGTCATGACTTACAAAGCGTATTGTGTATGTGGTGAGGGATGTCTCAAAAACGATAACAAATTGATGCAGTATAGTATAAGATGCAAAATAAATTAAATTAAAAGTTAAATTCACGTAAGCTTTGGTAACAATGGGAGTACCGCCCAAAAGCCAGGCGCCCTAATGTGGGAGTGCTAGGCACCTGTTTTGACGTGTAAGAGCCTGGCACGCCCTCAACATGAGTTCAT